ACGTGCATCAATTGAGGCGATGAGGATTGGACTTCGAAGGACCTGCCTAATGTAGGGGCCTTCATGACTAGAACAGGATCCCTTCAAGCGCTCCGGTTAAAGTGGTAACAAGGGTTTCTGTAAGGGTTACTATATGGAGTACTTTAAGGAGTACTATAAGGAGGGTTGGTATGATGTAGGGGCCTTCATTAGAAATAGGTACGGATTCGGGGTCCTTATAGCTATCATAAGGAACTCTATGGACTCTGTTATTATTTGGTATTTATTTAGGCTTCTATATTATAGCAACTTCGGGCCTGCTGGAGTAGGGTAACTACTGATCTGCTTCTGGATTGGGGATGCTTGCGGCCCTCGGTCACAACTCGAGAAAGGCCTGTGCCAAGCGCCCTTGATGAAGACAGCGGCGAGAACAAGATGCGCACGGTGAATGTCCAGGCTAAATACTTAGCAGTTAGTACGGACGGTAGAGCTTATAACTGCACCAAACATCCAAAGCAAACCGACCCCCCCCCCCACCCACCCAAAAGAATAAACGCACACAACTGACGGCATCCGTCAAACCACAGTGCAGGTTATAGACAACCATCATAATTAGAATAGAATCCCTTTAAGGGGACCTTTTACAGGGACCCTAAACCCTAAACCCTAAACCCTAAACCCTAGGCACTATAGGGTTACGAAGAGGGTTGCTTTGAGGGTTGCTATGATGTACAGGAGCCTCGGCTCCGGACTCCCAGTCTACCTTGACAATCCCCTACCACGAAAAGTAACTGAGTAGTTCTCTGAATTAGGGTTTAGGGTTTAGGGTTTAGGGTTCAAGTCCCCATTATAGTACGCCACCCTTATAAAAAACAAAAAAACCGAAAAGCGACCGTAATTCAGAGAACTACCCAACCCAACCTTCTGCTCCGATACAACGCATTGCTTATGCGGGAACCCGTCTTCTATAGGGAGTGGCACGGGCCTCGACAAAAAGGTGCAGCTTCTGATCATCGTCGTCCGACTCTTGTAGATCTGCATCCGCCTCCATCGCCTCCGCTTTCGAAGGAAACGCCTGGTCGAGCGAAGTGTTGCTAATTGGTTGTGCTACGGTTGATGGACAAAATCCTGCATGACCCCATATACATAAACTATGGGATTTATGGTACTATACTATATTTGGGTCATGCAGAATTTTGTCCATCAACAGTATGACAGGCAGTTACAAGTTGTGACCACCGGCTTCGGAGTTTAGGGTTTAGGAGTTTTGCCACACGATAGGGGTCGTTGATTCCATACAGGCCCGCAGGAACATGTAAGTTTTAGACACCATAGTGTTCTCTACTTCATCTCTGCCGCAACAGTGCGGGATCATGTTGATGTCCATGGCTCTTTTCAAACTCAGTTTTTTAAGTTTTTTTAAATCCTCACAGGTCGTCATAGTATGAATTCTGATATTTTTTTGGGATCTGCAGGGCTCTGCGGGTTGCTGAGGCCTGCAAGCATCGAGGCTGCATAATGGTCTGCTTCGAGTTGCCATTTAGGGCCGTAGGTGCCGCCGACGACTATTTGCAACTTTGTAATCGCACCTTCAAAACATCAACCGTGGCCTGTGCTTCTGTATCTGCAAAACTCGATCGAACGATACCCCGGCGTATGTAGGCTCTGGCCACTATCACAAACCTGCAGTGCCCATAGGCCGACCGACATGTAGAAACGTCTACCGACACACCTACTGGAAGCGTAAAACCTGCAAGAGACAACAGAACCATCAAACACCCCACAACTTTCTTATACAAGCCTTCATCTTCGGAATGGGGTGTTGTGGGTATTTCGGTATTTCATAACCTGTAAGTGGGTATTGCAGTGGCTTTAGCTACAGTATTCAGATCTCTTGATTGGGCTCTCAACCGCACGCCCGACACCTAACACCCTGTAAACCAGCAAAGAACCCTCAAAGGACCCTTTAAGGAATCCTGTACTAAGTTTCCCAAAACCCTAAACCCTCAAAGGACCCTTTAAGGAACCCTGTACTAAGTTTTAAGAGCCCTACGGATGACCGCTGCCTCCAAGCCGTGCCCGGCCCGCTTTGCTGAAGAGCAGCAAGCACCCATCGCCTCGCGACTTTGGGGGCTTCTAAGGGCCTTCAGAAGTTTCAGTGTTTTTTAGGGTTTAGGGTTTAGGGCTTAGGGTTTAGGCGTTACGGTTCAGGGCTCATAGCTCTTTATGAGGTGTTGGCTCCAGTTTCAGGCTTTTTGCGTAGGGCTCTATTGTTCAGAGATGCGCAAAGGCTGTGTTCAATATGAAGTGTCTGACAGCCAAACAATAAATTCAAACGGCGAGCTGGATCCCGTTTCTCTCGAGCTACATTAATTGTTAACACCAAACCCCTAAACTCTTTTCTCTAACCCTTAGTCTCCAGAACGAAGAGCTGACAGTTACTAGAGAGAGCCGCAAGCCCTAAACCGAACAAAAACAACAGCAAAAACGAGCCCTACAGCGCTCAATTTCCAAACCTACTGTGGGGGCCTTCATAATTAGAATAGGATTCTGGGGGGGGTCCTTTTTGTAATTGTAGTAGGATATACCCCCAAACCCTGTTCTAATTATTAAGGCCCCTATATTACTTGCCCCCTCCAGACGAAAGGGTTTAGGGTTTGGGGTTTGGGGGTTTAGGGCGTAGGGGTTTGGGGTTTAATGAAGGTTTAGGGGTTTTGTTAGGGTTTAGGGGTCTAGGGGTTTCGGGTGTGGACGTTCGGGGTTTAGGGTTTGGGGCTTAATTAGGGTTTAGGGGTTCGGGGGTTCGGGTTTAGAGGCAGCCCTTTGGCTATAAAGCTCCAAACCCTCCAGCCCAAGCACTGCCGAGAAGCTTTCCAAGCTGGTAACTTGAACAGCTCACACGACGAAGCAGTGGAGCGTCAAGGCATCGCAGTGGAGCGTTTGGGTTTGAAGCTTTCTAGAGTTTACCGGCTTCTAGGGCTTTTAGGGGTTCATGGGGAGGGTCCGGAGATTTACAGTGCAATAACAGCAATATCGGCGGTTTTGATACCCCAACGAAATCATAACCCATAGTGTCTTGGACACCAGCACCTTGGTTCGACTTACGAGTAAACCCCGTAACCCCTAAATCCTACCGTGACCGTGGAACCCTCTACAGAGCTCATCACAACCCCGGGACGTCTTGATAGGGCTTGATTGGAACTTCAGAGCGCCTAAGGGCCTAATGTAGGGGCCTTAATAATTTAGAATAGGTTTTGGGGGATTTAAAGTATATTATACCCCAAACCCTATTAAAATAAGTATTTAAGCCCTTTATAGTACCTTAACCCCAGATAAGCTACCTTTATAAGGTTCCTTATGATGATTTCATTGAACAAGTTCTTAATAATGGTAGGGCTGGTAGGGTTTCTAGGGTCCGGGTAGGGCTTCGGCCATCGTTGGAAGAGGCATGAGCAGAAAACAGCTTCACAAGTCTGTGTTGTATGAAGGCTTAGGGACCCTACCCTACGGCTCCTGGACCCTTGTAGTGAGATCCCAAACTCTGGCCTCCAAACCCGAAGCCCTCCCTGAAAGCCCAAGACCCTCTTAGGAGCCTTAGGGTAAGAACCCTCAACTTTGGGTTCAGGGGTCCTTAATGCCGCGAGAACCCCGCAACCCAAACCTGCGTCCCCGGTCCTGTCCATAAACGAGAGCCTCAGTCGAACAGTCCTCGAATTTGCTCCCTCCCATGCACTTGAAGCATGCTTAAACTCATTTTAGGGCTTAGGGTTCAACCCAAATGTTACAAAATCCTGATGCTGATCACTCACAGGCAACTGCTATTGGCACTGATTTACCATCATTAGCTAGTGCAACAAGAAGTAACAAGAGTAAACCCTAAACCCTCATTTTAAATATTAGGTTTTAAACCCTAAACCCTAA